TTTTTATGTATTTTTTATCATACCTGAAAATGAAATAGTTCGCAACTTTTAGCTGTAATAGCATATTAAACAACATTAAAACTTATCAATGCATTTAAAAAACTTGCTAGTTAAATCCCATGTTGCTGGTTATGGACAAAGCACTGATCACGATGAACTTGTAAACATGACGTCACTTTGGTAAAAATGACGTATTTTATGTGCTGTGAGAGGCAGATTGAGCTATTTTTTAACAATGAAAGATGCGTTTTACTATCAAACGGAATATTAATTACAGGTTTTAAATAGTCGATTAATACCAAATGAATGAATATCTTTTGTTTAGTGCGATTATTAATTAACTATCAAGAGAATGTATTTCATTCATTATGCCGTGTATTTATGTACAGGTTACATACATTTTACATCGAGATGCCACATAAAATCGCACTTTCGCAAGGGCATACACTTAATAGATCTTAACCATTTTTTTTTATTATGAATAAAGGATATTTTTCTTAATTTGAAAAGTGGTGCTGCTTTCTTTAAATCGAGGGCGTGATTTTATAAGTACACAAAATATTTGGTAGAAGTCAAACATATTTCGACATTGGCCTATTTACCTAACATTTTAACTATTAAAACGCAAATTCAATTCAAAGAGCAGAACTTTTCAGAAACTACAAAATATGCAGAAACAAATAATAGATTGAATTTTTAATTTCAACAACAGTATGCCCTTGCGATATTGAAATTTGTTTATGACCTACATTCAGTACACGAATTATGCATTCATCACGTGACTGACCATCTATGGGACCAAACTTCATACAGTACAGAGTGGATTATACTATACTATTTCTACAAATATTTGTGTTCTGTGATAATAAAACAGCTTAATTAAAATAAATTCAGTTTTAAAAAGGTCCCCCTTTTCACGTCTATTTTCCGTTGATTTCTAATAGTAGGCCTTAACAGTGCTGCGTTGATAATGATTTAACGAATATATGACCAAAAACTGTCGATGTAAGATGACAATACAAAAGGAAGTAATTAAAATTGCACAAAAAAGCAGAAAGTGGGTCATATAAAAGTCTCTTAGTAAAAATAAAACTTGTTTGCATGTTTTTCAGTCATAATTATTTTTACTGACATGTCAATTTAATTATTGTTAATTTCTCAGTAATTTCTCAGTAATAATTGTTGTTTTAATCTCAGTTTTAATTGTTTTATTTTTAAATTTTAGAATGTACATCTTTAAATCACCAGAATGTAACCCTCAGATTATGTTCAAAATAATTAATCCTGAAAGAATTTCATTTGTCAATGGAAAGTGTTTTACAACTGAAGGGGAAAAAGGATATTCGTATTTTTATCAATTTCACTTTCTCTGAAATCGTATATGACATCACATAGAATCAAATCCTATTTTATGAGAATAATTGGATAACCGAGGATTGTTATTTTCTGATCTTATTGAGAGGGATTGCACTTTTTAAGAAAAATCCTATCAAGAAGTCAAACAGGTTCCTGAAATCATGGATATTGTTCTTTTACATGTACGTAATTAGAAGTGCTTCTCTAATAATTCGTGTGCTGACGCCAACAATCCCAACTGACTACATGTAATGTACACCGATGAATGATTCTACCTTTATTCATTATAATTATCATTTAGAATCATTATTTATTTTATAAGAAGAATAAACAAGATATATAAAGGATATCTATATTGTGTTATTTGATTTAGCCGACGACTTGAAATGGCAATAGTTTATATTGCCGAGGGAATATTCACCATTTCAACTCGTTGGATAAAGCCAATATTAAATCACAAAATTATAGATGTTCTGTTTATCTCATACGACTTTCGTTTTAGCAAGACTTTTTAGACTTCCCCTGTGAAACTACATGAATGATTTCTAATACGAATTTATGACGCATCACTGTTGATGTTGTCATGCCTCGAACGAAAGTAGATCCAGTAAAAAATTTAGAAATTTTGCTATCTGCGTTATTGAAAACATTATGTGACAACTGCTGGAGCTTTATATCAAACAAACTTCTGACTGAAAGTTTAAAGGATCATGGGATCGTGAAAATTAACTCTTTGTATGGTGGCAATACAAAACGTGCTAGGCACGGCTACTTGTAAATTCATTGTTGAACCATGGTAAGTTACATCTGCATTACTAGGTAGGCATACGTAGTCTCATGTAAGAAAGCATTGTTGGAGATGTTACAGGAATCTCATGACAACAACTTAACTGCTAGGCTTTACTTTCATCCGTCTTGAAGTAGCCAATACAGGTACCTTGATAAACGAAAACACTTCTTTTAAATATACGAGTCTTTCGTATGAGTTCTCCACAACTTTTCCACTAATAATAAAAAATCTGATAAAATAAAAAGTAGCTTTTACGTTTTTGTACGTTTTTATTGTTTGAACCACTAGAGAAGACATGGGAACTTGAGTTGAGTGAACATATGTCATTGATTGACCACATAAATGGTGAAAGTGAACAAAAACGCATAAATATCCAATAACATTCAGTCATGTTAATTTTAGCTGGGATAAGGGCAGCTAATAAATAGTTCCAACTTAGTTATGATATATTAGGATTTAGTGCTGATCACAGCTATTTTTATATAAAGATTACCGAGTATTTTTTTTTATCCTGCAACTACCCCTTGCATTGACCTAATAAAGGTAACCTAATAAACCAAAGCTTTATCCGGTCACTGCCCTAATAAAGCCTCGTGCATGTATTCCGACATTCTAAAAGCATTGTGACGTCACGTATATTGCAATGTTTACGCCATGGCGTCATAGTTTCAACTGCAGAGAAGTGCCTAAATATGTCGGAAAAAGCTTGTTTTGGACGTTCAAATGTAAGAAATATGTTGCAGGATAAACAAAATACATGATAACTGTCTAGAAATATAAGCGATATTTGGGCTCGGGTCGAAAACGTAAGAGGGCTCGGCAAGCCTCGCCCTCTATCACGTTTTCTTACCCTCGCCCAAATATCGCTTATATTTCAAGACAGTAACCATGTATTTTATATATCAACATTTTTTTAAGGTTTTCAATGTATAACGACCATATTTTGCACCTATTAAATGAATGATCCAATATGTTTAATCAAGTTAGTATTTTAAAAATGTTAGTAAATAAAAAAGCTCCACCAAAGGGATTTACAAAATTTCGATTATTGTCAAATTGATTGCACCTTGAATTTAACACTGAAGTCTATGGGCAGCCTTTGTTTTATCAGATACGAGGGGCATTTCAAAAGTCCTGAGAACTGTTTGATAAAAAATTAACCGTTTCACGGAAATTATTGAGTTTGATATCATTGGAAAGATCAGAAAAATATACACATATTGTGATGTCACTTTATAATTTGTATGACGTAATAACTCAGAAAATAACGTCAGACTTCCGCATGCTTACGATACTGGCCATAAAAATGACGTAACAAAAGACGCAATTTGATCAAATTAAAATTTTAAAAACAACTTTTGCTCATTACTCGGGCGCAAGCTATCTGACGCAAATGTCAGTTGGTGGAATGTTTATATAGACGTCAATCTATCATATGGTGTTCTATTTCGGAAATCTTCTTATTCTGAAATGCTTTAAACGATTATCAAACACAGCATGTTTTTATAGAGTCTGGCTCAAAATATTGCGTAAAACAGACCTACCTGTAAGATAAAGGCAAAGTTGATAATCAAAGATAAATAGACGATCTTGTTACAAATTTGATGGCATCAATTTGTCAGGTGTTTTAACCAGATTTGTGTTATCGATGAAGGCTCAAGAGAAGTTAAGTTTAGTGTGCCTCATATTTTCTCGTAAAATCCAAAATGGCGCGGGCGCAGTTGTAACCCCACCATACCTCCAAATATTCGCAAATTTTAATTTATGGAAATTAAATCAGATTTTACATGTCTGTCTAACTTATAAACCTTTTTTGGATTCAAAAGTCAAAAGCAGTAGTGAGTTTTGGGGCGCCGAAGTTGAATTATTAAAAAAAAATACGAACAGAAACAAGTCAGGGGCAAGGCTTTTGTACATTTTATTTGTAAACGGTAAGAGTACTGCTACTCAAAATAAATTTGTTGAAAACTGCATTAATATCCTTCAATTTTATACATAAAATTTCTTATTTCATACAATGGAGAGCTAATTAAAGGACCGAAAGTCCAGTCGTATCATGTAACTTAACATCTTAAATGAATGTCCATGAAAGCATAACCGCACATAAACCGTGCTAGAAAACAAATAATACAATGAAATTGTTGATAAACAGTACCATAGTCCTAATCTTCTTCTTTGATAGCAAAAATTTTCTTTGAAATATTTTTTTAAATAAGCCTTTGGCAGAACTTTTGAAATCTTCTCATGTGGATAAAAACGCGGCTTTTCAGTATGCTAAAATTCTATATTCTGACGTCATTTTCTAAGTTATTAAGTCCTAAAAATTGCAATGTGACGTCACAATATGTGTATATTTTTCTGATCTTTCCAATTATATCAAACTCAATAATTTCCGTAAAACGGTTAATTTTTTATCAAACAGTTCTCAGGACTTTTGAAATGCCATTCGTATAACGAAAAGTTTTTTGAATTTAAAACATATCTCTTGGTTAAAATATGCAAAAACTACCTCTTTATTAAAATATGAAAAAAAAAAATTATTTATCGCAGAAATTTTGAGAAATCAAAATTGTTCTTCTTTATATGAAGGGCAGATAACTCTTTAACTTTCAAAACATGCAAAATGATTGTCTCCTTACATGTTATCAGTCTTCTGAATTTGCTTTATTTCACTTTTATTGTTATCTAGCAATGCAGATTTATCTTGTTTAAAATAATTAAAATCTATAAAATTCCTTCATTATACATTGAATACCTTTAGTGCGATTCAATAATAATTTTATAAATGTGTAATCAAATACAAAGAGTGTAAATTTTACAGAGTTGGTAAATATCATTTCAGAGATCTTCGTCAAAACAAGATAACCACCATTGCAGACAATGCCTTTAATGGATTGCCAAATTTACAGACACTGTAAGTTTTTGATCAATTTTTTTATGTGACAGATTAAAAGAAAATGTTATGTGTAAGCAAATTTGTAAATTTAATCAGACAGACAATTTGCTAAAATTTAATAAAAAAAAAGAGTGAAAAAATTCAGTGGATTGAGTAAAGGACAATACATGTTGTCTCTGCATGTTGATGCATGTTCTGAACATAAACAAAACCAGTAGGTATTGAGTTCGTTATTTGACTCTCTAGAATGAATATTGAAGTGCCCTGAATGTTTACTGCCAAGATGAAAAAATTATATTTCCCACAAAATCTTTCTTCAGACTTAAACAAAACATCAGGCAAAATGGTTTTTGGGTATTTTAACATTTGAGGAGTGACAGGTAAAGTGCTGTAATAAGTATTTCGATAATATGTTCAAACTCAAACAAAGATAATAGTCTTTTCCTTATCTGCTAAACTTGTTTCTTTTAACTTAATGCTTGGATTTAGTTTTTGTTTTTATGAAACAAGTGTAAACCTATAGGGTTTAGAACATGTTGTATTTGAACATTTTAAACTTGGAATATATTTGAGTTGCGTCAAGCGAAAAGGGACCTTCGTGACATAAACGTAATTACGTCACAATAGCGCTTCAAAGATGTGACGTCGCGCCGGTGCGTTTCGTCAATAAAAAAATCATACGATAAAGCAAAACAAAACTTTGTTTGCGTAATACTAATGTTTAAAAAAAAGACACGCCTATAACTTTCCGAAAAAAAAATTAATTAATGTCGTAAATTTATAGATTTACTGGTAATATTTCCAAAATAGTTTATTATCTAATTTAATTTTTGATAGTTCATGAATGGCCTTATTCAAGAGAAGTGAAAAATGTCAATGAACAAATTCATGTACGGTGAATGTGTTTACCTCAGTAATCTGTGAAGACAAACGCGTCTTTGGCCTTTCCGGCTGAGCTCCAGACACTACAGTTAAGTTGTCTCCTGCATTTATTTCAATGTTTTTTTTTAATTTGGTGTGGGGATGGGGGTTACATATTATATACACATTCCAGGTTGTTTCTCCGTTAGTCAGAAAGGTCCGAGAATTAGCGACTCAATGCCCAAAGTTTGTTATCAGAGATTAAGCAATCGAATCAATTTAACTGATACTAGCATAGTTGCAATAGCGTTTTGTCAATACATATAGTAGCAAAAACATGAATGCAGCTGCCGGGAAACTGTCTGTAGCAATCTCATTAAGGATGAAGCGGTGAAAGCGGTATGGACTTCTGTATCTCCTCATCAACACCATCACCTTGGCGCAAAACTCTCAGGTTTGAAAAACTGACGTAATAAAATGTGAAAATAATCAACAGTGGTCATTTTCAAAACTAACTGGATTTCTTATAATATTCATTGTCTAAATTTACTGAAATAAATTAGAACTAAACACGTTAACACGTTAACTTTGGTTTAAACTGATGTAAATTGTTAACATCGAAGTCGAAAATAAAAGCGATGATTTAAAATCAGACTAATGTACATTAGTTTTATTTTCTGGTTTGGGGTTTACTAACTTTATTTAAGGCAAATACAGTAGTTCCAAACATTTTGAGTTGAGCTTTTAATCTTGCATAATATCGTATAATTAAATGGTAAGATTACCCCACACCCCACACCCTAACATCCTCGTGCGCGCACTTTTTTTAAAACATTTTATGTTACTATGGAAAGGAAAGCTTTCAAGAATTAAAGCTTTCAAGAATTAATTCTGATATTTGTTTTGTTATTCTCTTGATCTTGATTTCCTTAATTTTTTAAATTCTTTTTAATTAATTAATTTTTTTTGTTTCGATTTTGCTTGTTCGTTTTCGTTGTTACGTTTTAATTTACTATGAATTTTTTTTTATTTTGACCATAAACACCTTGAAAATTCAATGGCACATGCACCCCATTCTCTAAAAAAGATCGCTCCTATATTTGATCATTTAATAAAGTGCCAGATCATTAGTTATCTTGTAATTCACATGGTCAGTCAAGAGGTGGTTAATTATTCTGGTATTCAAGCAATATCTCAATAGTTCCGTTTTCTTTTTCACACACTGTAAATGTATTTGCAGAAGACCCCTTTGTTGATGTTGCCATAGACCTATATCTCAATTTACACTGCGACCTCTTAATAATATTGTCTGATGACTCCTTTTTTAATCTCAGACTGAAAAAAAACGTCTTTTTATAAAGCCCTTTCCAAAAAATGAAGAAAGAATTCTTTCTATGTGTAATACATACATTCTATATAGGTATATTTCAATTATGTGTGAGAGAAAGTTTTATCCTGTTACAAGTAGCTGAGTATGAATGAGATGTTGGATTTGAAAAAAGAAATACTGCGTTTTGTAAATAATATCCAATAATCATCATTAATTCGTGATTTTTTTTCTTTTCCTTCCTTGTTATCTTTCTTTTTTTGTGGGGGGGGGGGGTGATATCACTCGGAGCTCCTCGGATGTATCGTAACTGTTTGAATGGAGTGAAGCGGAGTCAACCGAGGATTGCCGATTGTACAATTAAATGCATAATGACCTATCTATTACAAAATAATGCTGAGAATAAATCTTTAGAAATTTCTTCCGATGGCAGCGTGTATACGTAGATTATATTATTACATGTATGAGGATTTTCAGGGGATGAAACCCATGCATCCCACACCATTAAAACATATATTTTCTTGTTCTCTTTGTTACAGCTGAATATGAATCAAACTGATTATTTACATGTATAGTATGTATAACTGTGTATCAAATGTTTAGATTGTACAGCTAGAATGTCATCCGATACCATTGACTTGGTCAATAAAATATTGCATGAATCAACGTACTAACTGAATGGGTGGCACAGAAGAAAAGCTTATACATGTGTTAATTATATTTTAAAGATTTTAGTATATTCTGAAAGTGTGAATTTAACGTCCAACTTTTATTGTTGTCCGACTAATTGTTTTGCATCAAGCCTAGATATCTACATAACTTAAATATATTTATCGGTATATTTTAGTGCTGATCAAATTCAATTCCATAATATATTTTTACGATGAGAATAAAATACAAGATTTTCTCTGTACAAAATTGTACAACATACGATATTTATCTTACACAAAATTTAAACAATTGCAAGCCATGTAACGTGTCTTTGTTCCATGGGAAGCACAACGTGCCGAGCTCGTGTTTTAAGAGAGGCCTACCCCCCCCCCCCCCGTTTCCCCAGTGTACAAAAAAATTATTTCTTACACTGATGTATAGTTAAGTCATAATAATTGATATAATGTGTACCGGTATATTTTATTTGATTTTAGCATCTTAAATCACCGACATATAGGCAAGTAACATCGTTAGAAAGGTGGGGGTGGGGCAAACACGTTTAATCTTATTTGAATTGTGTAATTTTCCACATTTCAATATAATTATCAATTGAAATAAAATAAAAGGACATCGACTTTGAAAGAAGTGTGTTATAATTGATAAGTAGAAAAAAATTATATCAATGCCTGAAAGCTACCCCCCCCCCCTAAAATACAATTGTTCAGGGAAGTATAACTATGTCATTTCCAAAACTATAAAAAATACATATAAATGTAGGTACTGGTTAAGCGTTTGTTTTGTGGAGGTAAGTTTGCTGATATGGCGAAAGGGAAAAAAACAGTACTTTGACCGGGGTTTATCCATACGACCTTACTACATGAACATCAGTCCCTTGCAAGCAATCGTAAATACTCGGTCATTTCTGTTCACGAACATAAGTTATTTCTTCCCTGGAAAATTTCCGAGTTGTTACGAATGCCTTGCGAGATAACTTCAAAGTAGGAACTTGTTTGGATTTGTACACATGGTCAGCGGTCTATCCTCCTGTGAAGGATATTTTCAAATACCAATTTTTCAGAGATTAAATCATGCTTATATTCATGTTGTAGAAAGATTAAATGATGTCGTTGAATATATTCTTTGAAAATGTACAACTTACTCTATCATTTCAATATTGGTCTACATATATATATAGAAAAAAAATGTCGTTTTTTCCGGTCCCCAACAGACTTATTGCTATTTTACAATGTATACGATTATATAGATGCTAAAATGGGGGGAGGGGGCACTAAAAACCTTAAATACATGTAAAAAAAAATATTTCTAACGAATACAAAAGGGTTATTTAGTAACAATAACGTTCCAAATATCAATAACGTTATGCGACGTTATTCAACGTTTAATAGCGTTATCTTTTTAAAATTGCATTGCTTTCAGTTTGAGTTTTAATTAGAATTTAGAAGGTATTCAATAAAAAATTTGGTATCAAAATATTCAGAAAAACTAGCTCTTTCAGATTCGGTGAAAAAACGATTTTCGAAAATTTTGTCACGAAGGTCCCTTTTCGCTTGACGCAACTCATTTATATCTAACAAGTAAACATTATGAAAAACGTAAAGACACTTTAACTTTTCAATCGTCAACTTTCCTAACTTATGCAGGAAGATACCTTCATCACCTGCAGTCATGGTTTATATATCTCGTTTGATTCAATACCCCCAGAGCATGCTCTACGTATGAACAATTTCTATGACGAGAGGTAATGAGGTTATTGACAAACAAGTTGATGAAACAAAAATATCAAGAGTCTCTTTTCTGGTCTTAATTTTTAAGTCCTATGGTCAATACAATGACCTTGTCAACAAATACAAATTATCATTAAGTCAAATGCTGGTTGACTTTTGTTAAGCCGTTTTTCACACATTGAATTGTTCATATATTTTTCTGTCATTTTCCGATGATGACATGGGGCACTATATTAGCAATAAAACTGGACACTTTAAAGTAGATAAGTTAAAAATTCGAATTGTACAAAGAGGTTGACTGAACCTATAAATAATATTAATGTAAGAATACGTTGATTGGAGGGTCGTGTAATGTTGGAGAGTACTAGGTTTAGGTGTAGGTGGCAAGACAATAACTAGTAAGACAGCCATAAAAGAACTTTTTCTATCTCAAA